AGGTTTTAGAAGCGGTGTAAGAGGAGCAGAGGCAACAAATTCCACCAAACTCGAAGGGCATCTCCCCCTAGCCATAAATTAATCACACATGTGATAGAACATAGGAGGTATTTGGCAATTGCTGAACCTTCTCCACAAAGAGCATCTAAAATGTGTTGAGCTCTCAACCCATCTCTCCCACACGAGGTTCCTTTAGGGAATCATTTAATGCCCCCAAGGACATTGTCAATATCAACCACAAGGGGAGGTACTGAACATATGGTACTCAGCATGGATGGTGGTGGCTTGTATGGATGCTTATCCTCCAATGCCTTCGTGGTAGCATCCCCGTATGGAGCAACCCCCGAGGAACATAATATTTTCACTACTGCTGTGAAATGCCCATCAGCAACCTTACGGAGACATTGTCTGACGTTGGCGTCACCCCGTGTTCTATCCTCCTAAATGTACTCTTCTTATTTGCCTTGTTGCTCCATCCTTGCATTGTCAACCAAGTTTTTAACAAGCTTGGCTATACCATCTTCTGTACCCCAAGTAGCTAATGCGCTTAAGATGTTACGATGTTGCAAGGACTTCTTGTTCCCAAACCTACTTTCTTGTCTATTATTGGGCCTGAACACCTGAAGAATACACCTAGGAAGAATTAACAATGTAACCCACACTTCAATGGACCCGAGATGAGTAGCAACCTTGGAAAGGGCTTCTTTCAAAGCCTGAGAGAAAGCCATACGACAATTATGAGGGATGCCTTTGACTGTGGTGATAGGTAGCTTAAACACAAGATCAAGGAGCTGAGCATCCAACACCAACCCCTCATTGAGGTTGGCATTCGGTTCATTGGGTGGCGGCTTTTGACAATAATATGTCTGCTCATGTATCAACATCACCATTAAATTTAACAAGACCACCTGAGTGTCGACACGCGCGGCATAGGGCATGGAGACTCATACAATCCCTACATATCCATTGACCAAACTATGTTGTCTCTTGAATCGGTAATATTTGGCTTAATAAATAGTTTTTGTTTTATACAAATCTTTCGGTGTTATAAAATTTGACAAAAAATATATAGAAACGTTCCATATATAAATTTAAACAGTCAAAATAATAATTTTATTTTTAATATCTTCGTAAAGTTCTATCATTTGAGTATTTCAATTCCATATGATTTCTTTTTTGGTTTTCATACAAAGAAAAACTAAACCGCAACTAGTTAATGATACCGACAATATTGGACCACATCCCAGTTACCTAAGAATGTTGAGTTCCCAAACAAAAGCATTGTTATTTTTCATTTTTCAGTTCAGCATAACTTCAATAAATAGCATAGGTTAAATTATCCATTTTTTCTAGAATATATGCATACCACATAACGAGTTAACATTATTGTCAATGTCATATGAATCTATTAAGTTACTTAATTGAGACAAGTAAAAAGTATATGTTAAACATGACTTTAGATTTGAATAACCTAGCCACCCGAGCTAAATAAAGAAACCCTAACACTCGATTTTAATTGGATAAATAATTGGTATGTGTATGTATATGTGTGTGTGTGTATGTGTGTGTATTGAGGGGTTTGTTTTGTTCGAATGTCTGTATAATAATGCTAATAGCTAGGCTTACAATAGTACCAAACGATTACATTCCAAGCTCGTGGATATGAATACTCCATATTACCTTATAGATGTAGTTCACATTGATCGAAACACGTTAAATATTATGTTTTGTGTATATATTTTAGTTTTTTTCATGACATATACATATATAGGAATAATTTAAAATCTTTGATCTTTAAAAATCATATGGTTGTGATCAAATTATATTGATCAGGGGTAGTTCTGAATCAAGAATTAACTATTTGTAACAGTGATGCCTCAACTCGTAACTACAATGCCTGAAATTTTGCATTGCTTTTCTACAATGACTAACATGAAACAAGGCAGCAGAATCCATAATCCAGGATTCACCCATAATTTATATGTTGCAAATGAGTCATCATCAAAATATGTTGCCATATTCATCTACTTATTCCCTTTGATGGTTTTAGGCATTGATTTATGAAGTCGCTATTTTCGTTAGAGTTCTAACAAGTAATATATTTCCTATAATTGGACGGACCTTTCTTCATTGACTTCAATATTCGTCTACTGTTACCCTTTTATTGGATCTCATGTATTTGTACCATGTACTAAACAAACCGTTGGAACATTCTCATGCATTCCTCCTGTGAATATCCTCACTCACGATCATGTCGTGAATGCCGTTAAAGATAATATTAGTAAATCCTGATGAACTCCTAACTGCATAAGTGTTCCATAGTGAATATAATAGTTGCACCACATGAACTTCATCATCAAATTTAATATAAAATGAAACTTACCTGGATTGTATCAAATTAAATTCATTTGTCAGATCTGTCACTTGTCACTTGTCACTGACATTCTTTTATTTTATTTTTGTATTCACCAACATTATAATTAAGAAAATCTTATCCACGGTCGATGGTTTCTCCTACATGTTAGATAGCGTCTTGGTTAGTTTAAACATTGTCTTCTCGTTAACAATGTTATATGCAACATTATTTGCCAACAAAAATCTAAACACACCAAGTGCATGTTAGTTCAACAGGTGTCCACCTCCTACTTCATCTCTTAAGGTTTTCAATTGAATAAGAGTTTGTATAACTTTTTTCTCATGGAGATAATCTTCGATCTCCATCTCCCAAAATCCAAAATCATGATTTTTCACATTATCGATCTTAACCTTCCTATATATAGTCATACTAGTTGTTGGGTTAAAGATGTTATAAACACACAATAAAGATGCAAAAAAAAACATTAATAACACACATAATTACATGGTTCACATGAGTGAGAGTTTTCATATTATATCATAGGTGAACTAGAGATTTCATTAGATTCTCAGAATATACCACCATTACTAATAGGGTTTAAGATTCTATTGAAAATACCTCTCATTTGAGAAAGAGGCCCCGCATACATGATCGAGAAATTGAATATATTCAAAGGGGATGTTTAAGCACTTAGTATGTCATTTAAACAAGTTGTGTTCGAGAAATTGAAATTCAATTGGGATCCAAGGGACTTAGACTTGTGTAAGTCACATAACAATTCACATTAGTACAATCAGAATGTTCCAATGCGGTAAAGCAACATGGAACATGATGAGTAACGTAACTTAGCAAATAAGAATATAGCATATTGGTGAGGTTAATGGTGTTACAAACCCTATGGAGGCCCGAACTTGAGTCCATGACAATACGCCTTAAAGCCACATAACCAAGTCACCAAACCCCTTCGTAATGACATAATTTTTTACACTAATTCTAAACATATCCCAACACTTAGGAAATATATATATATATATATATATATATATATATATATATATATATATATATATATATATATATTACCATATTAAAAAGGTAAATATAGTATCTAATATTATAAAACCAAAATGGTTATATAATTTACGGTTACAATACATTATATAAATATAACTAATTTATATGTACATTTAGTTTTTGACCATTTAATTTATTTATAACACCTTTCACGATCTTTTGAGATTCAATAAACTCAATTTCAAAACTTGCAAGTTTAATCAAGAGTTTCATAGTTTTTTTGCAGAAGCAGAATGTATTGTATATCCATTAATAAGGAGTGGGAAAGAAAGATCGTAAACTTCGTTTGACCTTAATTTATTCAGTGTTTTGGTTCATTTTGCAAAGCCCGAAATTTTTTGGTGTTCAAAAAATTGAGGTGTGCTACCTTGAGTGGATAAAATATCGTACTAAGTTCTCTAAATTATGTTGGTTCGATTGGTGTAATGTTTCTTGAATTTCTTGTAATTTGTAACCGCTAACATCTTGTTAGTTGTTTTTTGTTTAATGTATGTTAAAAAAAAATTAATAAATTCTCAATCATGGTTTTTCATTAATTAAGGGTATGTTTGGCTTAGCTTTTTAATCTTAAAAGTGTAATTGGTAAAAGTGATCATTGGCTTATGGTTTTTTGAAAAAGAAATTTTTAAAAAATGTTTGGTTTAACTTTTGTTGTATAAGTCGGTTTTAAAAGGTGTTTGAATTAGCTTCTAAGAGGTAAAAGATGATAGAAAAAACTAAAAAGCTATTAAAAAACTAAGATTTTATAGCTTTTTGAAACTCTTTTATTTTATCTATCTAAAATTGTTTGTAAAACCTTTTTAAATAGCTCAAACATTTTTTTAACTTATTAGTTTTTTAAAAAAACTAATAAACTAATAAGTTAATTTAAAAAAAAAAGGGTGCTTATTGTTTGTTCTCACCACATTAAGCTAAGTTTAAGTATTTTGATAGGAATTCTTAAAAATCAGCTTATCGTGGTAGGGATAAACTAAATGTGGTAGGGATAAGCTAAATAAATTGATTTTAATAAGCATCTTTCCCATTGCTTATTACTTATTATTTACTAGGCGTAAGACCCATGTATTACATGGTTTAATTAAAAAAAATAAATATAAATGTCTATTATTTATGAACTTTGGATTTATAAAAAAATAAGAAAAATAATGAATTATTAAAATTGATTTTTTATCTTTTAAATTTAAATAAATAAAATAATAAACTAATGAGTTTTAATTTGTGAATTTTAAAATAAGAAAGTAATTCCATTAATGAAATTGATGTTATTTATTAGATTAGATATATTGTAATTATTACATTAAAGTATTATGTGAAATTTATTAAAATAGAAAAAAAACCATAAAATAACATTTATCAAATTAAATGAGAGTATGACATGTGACAAAAAAAACTTTCAAGAGTAGATTATCACCGCAAATAAATAAACTAATAAATAATAAACTGATAAACTATAATCTAATTTATCCAAAAATAAGTTTTAAACTTGGAAATGTGATACACAAGGATGGCTATCCTTTTTATAGTATAAAAAGTAATGAATTTTTTAAACCAAGAAAAATAAATAATAAATAGATAACCCTTCAATCGTGTTTTCCAATTTAGCACGTCTCTCGGTCTCTCTCTCTCTCTCTCCCTCGCCGCTTATTAAGCGGTGCAGTAACCGAAGCCCAGACCTCTCCACACCCCTTTCAGTCAATCCTCTTCTGCAACCACAGCCCAGACCTCAAACACCGACGATTTCACACACATTTTATGCATGGGAATCGAGGGAAAAAGCGGTTGCAGCAAAATCAAGAGGAGGAAGTTGGCCATCAACTGGAAGCAGCTCTTACCTTCGTCATCCGGTGACGACGATCGTCCAACGGAACTTCTTGTGACATCGAAGAGGAAATCAAAATGCGGCCGCAGTGAAGGTGACGCGCAAGAGAATCATAAGGAAGACTTGGAACTCCAGACGAAATCATACGATGAAATTACCGAGTATATTGCGAGATCTAAAAGATTCTTGGTAACACTAAGTGATAAGTTGCCTGATAGGGGCGAAAAGCTCAAGGCAACTCTCCAGAGATACGAAGATGAACTCGAACGAAGAAATAAACTCGAACTGGAGAAGGTTTTGCTTTTTTTCTTCCCCTTTTATGTCAGTGGAATGCTTCTAAATCTTAAAACACGCACATTGGGAACTAAATTTGGTATATCATCCACTGATTGATTATTCCGAAGTTGCTATATTTGGTATCTATAACTTTTTGCAGCTTGAAAATTAGCGATTGATTTTGGGGGGTATTGGTATTTCATGTTTATATGATTGAATCAAATTAGACCATGGTTATTATCAATGGACCTGCCAGTCATATGAATAGAGAAAGATTTTGTAGCACTATTCATATGGAATTCTATTATTTACATGGGCCTTAATACATGACAATACAGCTTTCTGATCACAGTGATGAATGTGAGATTAAATCACCACCAAATTGGTAGTATTGCATTGTTTCTATGCATATACAGTCTGCTAAACTGCTTTTCTGTAGGTGCTTCCGGAGGCAAAAGGAAAGGTGACCAGAAATCTTCATCATCAGCAATGTTTGCCAAATTTCTTAACAGAATGTTAGCTTCTTGAGGTGAGTACATGTGGACTTTTTATGTGATTATAATTTCCAAGATATGCTATATGTTTTAGTTTATGAACTATTCTCAAGAGTATGTGTTTATGGTGTAAAGAATTCTATATGCTATTGTTATGAACTCTGTTTTAGAGTATGTATAGAAAATTTGCATACTTGTTATTGCTTTGCTAATATAATCCTTCTAGAGTATGTAAGTATGATATCAATTGCTTTATGTTGATATTGTGAACTTTTCCCTTTGGCCTATGAGTTATAAAAAGCTTATACTTGTAGCATGTGCACATCATGGCTTGTAGCATGTGATTGAATTGATTAAAAGAAAAGTGGATTGTAGCATGTGCACATCATTTGTATGAAATGCTTTCCAATAGTTTTTATGTCTAAACACATGTAGCTCAAGAGATAGTAATGTCTTTTGTACTTTGTTATAAATTTCATGTATTACAGGTTCAGGTGCATGCAAATAACCAGATGGGGTAGTTGTTATATATGGACCTTTTTGTAGATCACAAGAAGTAGATGATGATGAAGTGAAGCTATGTAGATGATCAATCTACCTTTTGAAACTTTGTTTTTGTAATTATGTATGCTTCACTATGGTTGTGTGATACTAGTTGTAACTCCCCAAGCTGGTTGATATTTGGAAAATGTTTATCTTTAGATCAAGTTTTACAAGATATTACTATATGTCATTAAGGTATTTTCTTAAAAATCTATAGGTTTCAAACAAATATAAGATGGGGTGTTACTGTTTATAAAGAAGGTCAAAAGTTCAAACATTGGCAAACCTAAGATGTTATTAGTCTTCACAATTTACCCCGCGTGATTACCTCCTAGGGGGTAAATGTGTGAATGAATTTGGTCCCTCATACTGCTTTTTATACTACCGTTATTAGATTTAATAAATCAGTTATTAAATAATTAAAGTAATTAAGAAACCGATAATAACTATTGACATACATGTCCGGTGGACAGGTTGACAAATGTATAAACAATATATTGATTTTAGTTGGTTTTATAGTATATTTTTTTCATTTGTTCCTATATTAGCAATGTACATGACAAATCTACCCAATTATCTTTCATGTCTTGAAATAATATCTATAATGGTCTTGCATACATAAATAAAATAAAGAAGACAATCAATTTAAGAGTCAAAAACTCAAATATTATTCAATGTAGAGCTGAAAGTCAACATTATCAACTTATTGGTTTAGATAAAATCACCCACAAGGACAAACATAATAATATATAATTGCAAAAAGTAGTTTATATTAATATTTATGAAAGTAGTTTATATTAATATTTATGTTGTTTAGATGGTGAAAACTTTTTACACTCGATGTTATAATTAGATAGTGTTTCCAAACTGTGTTGCATTAATAAGAAAAAATGATATACAAACATATTTTATGTCGATTCCATCATATAAATTATAATCCAAATCAATTCATTTCCATGGTCAATGCGTGAAAAATATAAGTAAATTGATATTATTGGCTAAAGAAAATTAGTATTTTGCTATTATCGGTTAAAAAGATAAGTGTGACTATCATTGGTGAAAAAGATAAGTAGGTTGATGTAATTTGTTAAAAGGAGAAATATGTTTCTTTTATTTGTCAAAAAGATAAATTTATTACTATTATTGGTTAAAAAAAGACAACTGTCTTACCTTTATTACTTAGAAAGATATAAACACCCATATATAACTTCTCATATAAGGTCATGTCATTTTTTAACACATAAATAACTCGTGGTTGTCATTAAGGAATATTTTAAGCCATATCATAGTTAAATTTTTTCCTCATACTCCTTTATTTTATGAATATTCATTTATTGGAATAAAATTTGTAATTATAAAAAACTTCCCTTTAACCATAATGTGTAAACTAAAACAAGGAAACAACCATTCGCTTATTAGCTAACTTCATAGTTAAACGACCAATTAAAATAAGAAAAAACTAATTTTCCAATATACGAGAATTTACATCAACTCGCATCTACACATATAGGAATAAAACACCAAACCATTCATTCCTTTAGAACCTTGTATATTATGAACATTGAAAATAATCAATCCTATTTGGCCCTTCTTTTTACACAACAGATGCGTATTTAAGCTTTTTCTTAATTGAAGAGTTGGAACTTTGAATCTTTAGGCTCGCCCTTTTAAGCTTTCAATTGGCCAGAATTGATTTTATTGACTGTCATTAGGCATGAAACTTGAATGTTAGTAAATATCAAGTGATAGTCAAACAGTTTTATTTTTTAGTACGGTTGAATAAAATAGTAAGAGAATATTTATAAAATTCACCAATCACATATTTTGACCAGCTATGTTTTTTCATCAATGCATAGTTGCTCATACTAAACTTTGTCCAAGACTTTTTTGGAATTAACGCTTTTTTAAAACTGATATTATATTTGTTTTAGCCAAGCAAGCAAATTCTTGAAAAAAAATTCAGATCATTATTCTTTTCCATATCTTTTTTTTTCGAAATTTCCTTTAATGTGTTATTTGTTAGATTCTCCTTCCATGCTCAGCATCTTAGGAGTATGAAGTAACATGTATAAGTATATATTATAACTGGATTTTTCTTTCTTTTGTTGTTTAAACTCTATCCATCTGTCAGAATTAAAAGCTAAAATACACCAAACCAACTCCTGTTAAATTGATCTAAGAATTATTACTAACAATAATCAAACAAAAATTATAAATATTGATAGCTAGCTATAAAATGAGTCAATAAATGAATTACCATCTTAGTACATCACTTTCAAGAAGAATCTTCCATACACCTCCTCAACAGAGAATAAATTCAAATACGTCTTGGTCACCGCACAACACATGCAAACCAAAACCAATTATTGCTAATTGTTAGAGATACTAATGGATCACATCCGATAAACCTACTAATGTTTTCTTTCTTTTTCAGCAAAAAATACAAGTAATTAATATAACTAAACACAATTAAAGAGCATTCCACACCAAATAAAGTGAAGTTTTTAAATATAATAAATCGACGATAAATATAAAATATGAACTAAGTGAGCAAAATTGTTAAGTCACCTCTTACAGACTATGCAACATTGGCTGGAAAATTTTTTCTTTGCAGTTGAATTTCCACTCTCTGAAATTACATGTAGTGATGAAATTTTTTATCATTTGTTAGAAATACAATGTTATTTTAGGTAGAGTGCACACTAATCATGGACTGTTTCACATTACCATTTGTAACAGACATAAGCAAAAGTAAAATGACATAATAAAAAAATAATTAAAAAATAGATTGTTATTTCCTATATTTAATCCTAAACTTACAATATAGGCCTTTTCTTATTTCGTCTTAGCCAAAACAACCATGCTTTCTTTCGGTATAACACCAAGCATGCACCAAAATGAACAATGCTCTGCTATTAGCTTTCATCTTTCTCTTTATGTGTAATTTAGTTCACAAGTATTAATAGCCAACAACCAAAATCAAAATATTGATTTTCATATAAATGACCTCTAGTTATTCAACAATCCAATAACATTACCCATATATTTTTTCACTAAGGCAAAGTGGGTCTCTCTTTTATGGAAACATGACTAACTGTACAGTCATTACTGCATAAAACACCACAAAATGCTCACATTCTTTTCCAGTCAGCAAGTCCAAACACTCATATGTTTGAAAAGGAAAATTAAGAACAAAGTTAAAATTCATCTTAACAACATTGAAAACATCAACGTATAAAAATTTATCATCAAGAAATAAATGGTTTACTGTGACAACCCGAAAATTTTTGCCTTGTAAAGTCCAGCCTTTCGACTTAACCGAGTGTCAGACTCGTTTCTGCTATCAGTTAGCCTTGTTTAGAGTCTGTTTAAGGGTTCAAAGCTCAGTACATTCAAGCATTGAGTATAGGATTGGTTCGCGTAAGTTCCTAGCCTTGAAATCAAGCCCTACACTCCATTTGAGGGAGTGTACGGTCGTACACATGAGTGTACGGCCGTACGCATGTGTGTGCGGCCGAACACCCATCATGACCGTACACCCCTCCATAAGGGTGATATCCTTCCATTCCTAGGTCATTTCCTCAGTTTCCAAGTTAAGAACATCGATTTCTCTCCCAACTATCATCGAGCCTTTCACCCGATCTTCAAGAATGTAAGCCTTTCTTCCGTTTTGATTTGTTGTTATCCTTCTTCACCAAGAAACAACCTTTGATTTCATCCATTTGAAATCATCTTTTGACTAGATCTTCAAATCTTCATCCATTTCACCAAGAACACCAAGAACACACACTTGTTCTTGGTGATTGTGAGCCTTCTTGAGCCTCCAGATTGTAAGTACTCCTTGCTTATGCTTAGAACTTGTTAAGAACACTAGATTAACACCCTAAAAATGTCCAGAACTCAAGAACATAAGGAGTGTACGACCGTACACCCATGTGTGGCCGTACACCCCTCAAAACACCCCTAAAGGGCCTTCAAAATGCAATTCTAGCTTCAACACTTGATGAGCAATTGTCCTACAAGCTTCCCATTCATTAGAAAACACTTTTTTGCACTTATTACCATGAGTGTGCGGCCGCACACTCCATGTCCGTACACCCATGGACGCACACTCCCTATAGTGGCCGTACACTCCCCTTATATGAATAACATGTGATTCTAACACTTGGTCCAAGTGTTTCCTAGTCCCTAAAGGCGTTTCCTTGCATGTTAGTTTCTTATAAACACTATATTCATGCAATTACATGCCTTATATGTCATTTAGGACTCGTTTTTGTTTCGGGACTTCATTCGTGGAACTTCTCATCCTTACGCGCATATTCGTTTGAATCACCCACATAAGGTGAGTTCATACCCCTATAATGAATCTTTTAACTGTTTAAAATGCTTTTAAGGGGGGGGGGGGGGAATACAAGTTGAACACAATGATAATTGTGTAATTGTTTGTTATAAACATCTTTCAAAAGATTGCTTATGTCTTTTATAAGTGATCAAAACATTTCAAAAACTCTTTTAAAGTTATGTTACTTTATAGTTTAACAAAACTCCGTTTTTAAAGTACCAGCATAACTTAGTAGAAAAATGAGACTTTTCAGTAACAGTTCAAGTAAAACACTAGTAAACTATAAGGGGTATAGTTTAGAGGTTCAGTTCATACTAGATACTAGAGCATAATATAAAGAGAAACATGGAGGTAGATACAATACATCAGAGAGACATACTATACATTATGCATGATAACAGAAAGAACATACTAAGATACTATAACAGAACGAACATACTAAATGCTATAGCAGGAGAACACTATAGGATCTAATTATACCAATGAATCACTAACTCATTGTTCTAAACAAAAGGTGATAGTAAAATTGGGTATACATGATCATATAACTTTAATGTGAATTTACACGGCCTAGCAATTTGTTTGTGGAAGTTGCGTTTGGTCCCCATAATCTTTTGCAGGGAGAGCGTATAGTATGGGTACTACTCATCACATTATGACCTTAATAAAACAAACATGTTTTAAAGGTAATCAGTACGTCAGGATGTCAATTCAAAAGACAACTGTGTACTTATAATTTCCCATTACTTTCATTTTGTGACAGTTCCACTTGAAAGTTAATGCAAACTACTTTCGAGTCAAGATAGTTA